CATAAGGTGAAATCTCTGCCATTCCAGCAATAAAGTCATTAAAGCAGCTTGCTTACAGCATATTTGTCCACTGTGAACCACTGCAAATATCCAAATAAACCTATAAAACGGATTAAATGCTTACAAAGAAGATTAAAAGCGCAATCGAGACAAATTATTCTTTGCTTAGGTTTACTTCTACATCCTGTTCTCTGAAGATTTTCTCTAATCAATACTGAAAAGAAGCTGCCCATTTATCCAGAATATTAAATGTTTCCCTAATTCTGCATGTAACAGCAGCTTGATAATATTTAACAGAATGGAAAGCTCTGAATCACTGAACTGATTCTAGAAAGAAGCTTTAAATTTGAAAAGCCAATTCTAAGTAGTTATTTTAAAAAAATAAATCCATTCAAAGGCAGATGTTGGATTTTTGTAAATAAAGTATACTTTTGTCACTGATCTTTACACAAAGTTTTACCGAAAATCTGATAGATACAGCAAATTAAATGTTTTATAAGAATTTTTTAAATTAAGATAAATACTATGACATCAGTTCTGGCATAAGTTATGTAGCGAAGCCAGCATTCTCAGTGCCAGCAAGAAGGCAGAAAAACAACAGAGGCAAAAAAAAGGACTGGATGAGAGCTTGTGTGTGAAAAGAGATTCAAGTATAGGCCTGAGGTGACAAGGAGGTGAGAAAGGACTAAAAAGCCAACATTAACAGAGAAAAGGAAGGGCAAAGTAAAATGGTAATAAAAGAAACAAAATAAATGGAACCAATACTAATGCTTCCAAGAGTCAGGTACGTGATAAAGCAGCACAGCATTCTGCAACCAAAAACATTATTTTCCTAGTGTTGTTACAGACAGAGCCATTATTAAAATACATTTCCAAAACTGCTGGTGTACTTTTTAAGCCAAGAGTATATACTTTGTTGAACAGCCTTTTAAAGCCATACCCATTTATGCACCTCAGTTAAACAACAATGAAAGAGAAAACCACAACCCCCCTAATGATTTATGTTTAACAAACAGGTTTAACAGTGGTTTTAAGCAGCAAGATATTTTAGGGCCAGTTATTAGTGGCCTTCACATAGTGGGCACTTACACTGGCCCTGCTGACTTCAGTTCTACACCTACTTTTAGACTTCTCTTTTATAAACACACAGGATTGTAGGTAAAGACCCCATATTTTGCCTGTTAATCTAATTCTACAAGCATCCCAAACTGTCCTCCTCCTTGCTATGGGTCTAAAATGCCTGACATGAAATTCTGTTTCTTGGCAAAACCACAAAATTGGTGAAAGGCTTAGAGAAGCTGTATGAGGAGAGGCTGAAGTCACTTGGTTTGTTCAGCCTGGAGAAGAGGAGACTGAGAGGAGATCTCATCACAGTCTATCACTTCCTCACAAGGGGAAGAGGAGGGGCAGGTGCTGATGTGGGGAAATGGCAGGAAGATGTGCCAGGGCAAGTTTAGGTTGGCCATGAGGAAAAGGTTCTTCACCCAGAGGGTGGTGGAGCACTGGAACAGGCTCTCCAGGGAGGTGGTCACGGGACCAAGCCTGACAATACTCCAGAAGCATTTGGACAACGCCCTGAGACACATGGTCTGAATCTCGGGATTGTCCTATGCTAGGGCAAGAGTTGGACTCGATGATCCTTGTGGGTCCCTTCCAACTCACAACATTCTATGATTCAATTTATTACACAATGCTGATGTATGCATTGCATGATTTTTAACAAATCTTGACTGCCTTCTGCCCTCTCCACGTTCTCGATTGTATCCCTTCCATGGAGAAACCTGATCTTGGATGTTCATTTGTTACAGCCCTTTGTTACAGCAGAATGTTTTAGCTCTGCTGTGCTTCCAACCATTATATCGTTTTCTTCTTTCTTAAAGCTGAAGTGTCTGAACATTAGAGTCTTAGATATAATAGTGTAATACTTACAATTGTTAAGGGGGTCACAACCAAATGGCAGGCAAACTGAAAACCTATTAATTCTGTTAGATATCAGGAAACCTGCATTCACCCAGTCTACAGCTGCACTCTGCATTTAGACTCCATTTTTTAATAAACATTTTGAATAAAATTAACTATCTTTAACCTTGTCCCTGTTCAGTTTTTACTGGTAAACTGCAGAGCACAATTAGAGCCCCATGTCTGTTTTGTTAGTCAAAGTGTTCCTCCAATGCAAACAATACTATTAACTTAGAAGAGTCAGTGTCTCCACTTTGATGAAAGGGTGGGTTATTTATTGTATACTGAACTAATGCTTAAGCTTTGCCTTAGCACACTTAGTTGTTTTTTGTTTTTGGTTTTTTTTTTAACATTATGGCAATTACTGCCTCTTTACATGTCCAGATATCATTTTGGAAATTATCTGTTTAATAACTAAAGACTAAAATCAGGACAAATTTATGCAATGGCAAATGAGTCATGCTGTCCCCTACAATTCAGTATATGGGCAGATAAAAAAGGTCCAGTCTACGGAAAAGGAATATGCAGCATCATTCCTCTATGCAGTAGAAATAAAGATCAACATGCTATCAAGTTCCAGCTGTCAGCCTTTACTTCAGTTTCCCCTCTCTGTGAAAATCCTGAAGGAGTAGATGACAACATGATCTCATTGGTGCTAGTTTTACATCAGATAACCAAACCACTTAGAATATTCTATTTCTAACAAGATTTAGTATAGAGATACAGTAAATATTTAGGAGCGTATTATGTACTCCAGCATGGACTAATATCTTTAACAGAGTGTATAGCTATCCAGTGTCAATAGATACAGGAAGCTATATTTTCTCTAAGTTCTACTGAAAAGTTCACCTTCACTTACACTCTATTTCAAGGAACTGTATTTTAAAGTGGACTGCTTTCAAAGATGCAACACTACTATAACTGTTCATTCAATCTGTTAGTAACTACTCTAATCTTTTACTTTCAGTAAATTTATGCAATTAACTGCACAAAGTTACTTGAAATATCTGTTTAGGTTTTCATTTTATATTTAGTCCAAAATATTTCCTATTACTTCACAAATACTACTTCAAATAAGAAAAAGTACTTGCAGAAGATACTTATCTATCAGTTATTTTCAACATTTCTAGCTTAGAAGGAAACATCTAATCAGATGTTTGACTACTGTGTAATTTAAAACACATTACTACCAAAACCAACCTCAAAGCATCAGTGCATTTACCTGAAATAAGTATTAACATGTATTGAGCAAATCAGTTTACTCCCCATATTCATGGTGCTTATTTAGGAAGGAGACTAAAAGTGGTAAGAAATTTTTCAGAAGAAATGGCTAATTTTCTTTTTCAAACTCAAAGTGCTATGTCTCAGCTTTAGTAGGAACACTTGTTGTTTTCCAGATGTCACCTGACAAGCTGGTGGCAGTCCTGTATTCTTCAAGCATTCTATCAGAGCTGTATCACAGGAGCAGCGATAATTCAGAAGTAACTACATTCATGTTCACTGAAAGGTAACATTCCTACCATCAGTTCTCTAAGCCACGGTTTTCATGTCAGAAAAGGCTTCCCTCACTGTTCTGATTTATTCATTAAGGTAGAGTACAAGTATGTAGCAGAATACTTTCAGTAACATGTAACCTCACATTTTAGCACCAAAAGAGATATCCATCCCACAGAATGTGAGCTTTGAATTTCTAATATGTGCGAAGCATAATGAAAAATGTTACAAGTATCAAAAGTATAATATGAACTTGAGTTTTACATTTAAAAACTTGGGGTTTAGGCAGAAAAATATGGTCTTGCATGTCAATTACCACAATTGGGTTATTTTTATAAATCATAATTATGTTCAAATTAACATCAAATTCACTGTTTAAAACAGCCAAAATTAGCATAAGAGGCTGACATACACATGTCTTAGGGGAAGTTGTAAAAGCATCACTAAAAAAAACCCAACCTTTCTCATCTTCTAAGATTGTGATCTACTAAAGAGATCGTTTAACTTCCCCCCTATACACACATATATAAAAACACACATACAGAATTAAATACATATACACATAAATTGCTATCAATTCCTGTTCCAAAGTGATAAAAGATATCCACTAGCTTTCTCCTTATTTACTCACATTCTTACTATTAGACTAAAAAAAAAAAAATCCAGTTTCAATCACTTCCTAAACAAGATTTTGAGAACATAAAGGAGGCAACTGTACATTTTATAAAAGTTTTTAAGAATTGGTCACTATAAACTGGAGGTAGTTTTGAAAAATGTTAGCTTGAATTAATTTAAGAAATCAGAAGTAATGTTAATCTACAAAAAGATTTTCAAAAATGAAATACTCTCCTGTTAGGAAGATTGTTTCTGTATCATTGAATACATTCTTTTGAGGAAAACATAACATAGCTATTTGTTTCTGGTTGTTACCACTCAGCTTTCAACAGCAGGCCAAGACACATGCACTTGTTGATCTTCCTCACTGAAAGTGTGCTGATGCTTCCTGAAGTTGTAACATGAACTGAATGTGGCTTCCCAGACATTTCCAACATCTTTTCCTACTAAAATCTGGTTTTAGAACTTCCTGTAAAGCATTATTAATCCTAAAATAGTCCTTCTGAAACTGCATTGTACAGAAACTGCCCCTCAATTCAAGAGAATTACACTTTACTCCTGAAAACTCAAATTACAATCTAGATAGAAAAAGATTAGCATAAGATCTTCCACTTTCAGTTTTATCAGTATAAAATTTCACTGGGTAACTTTTATACTGCATCACAGTCACATGGTCTCACATGTGTCAGAAAATTCTTCTTTTGCAGATTTGAAGTGTTACAATGCAAAATGTTGAACCTTAGTAATTTGTTTCAAATACAGAGATTAAAAAAAGCCCAAAGAAAAACCCCTCTCAGCAAAGTCACTCTTAAACTGATATTATTAAAAACACTAAATAATTTTTTTTTCCTGCCCCATCCTAAGAGTAACTCACCAGTTTACTCTTGCAAACAAGCATTCCACAGTAATGGGGGGAAAAAAAAATCTTAATTTTTATAACCTATTATAAATGAAATTAATTTATGTATTGTGTAACCCTGTAGCTACTTTTAGCAAACTTCCCACTGTTATTTTAAATTGTGTGCAACAGGAAAAAAAAAGAGATTTCTCATCTGCTTTTCTTGTTTTCCCTTCACAAAAAGGTAACATTCTGATATGTATATCATGTGCCATATTCTAATAAAGTATATTTGGCTGGGAGTTCCCAGGATGCAGTCTGTTGCCAGCAATGGACCCACTGGGAAGAGCAGATGCCTAGAAAGTTAAATCAAATCCAAAGCGAAGTTTCGAATAACATCCAAAGCTCCTGTATCAAAACCGCATATATCCAACATGCCTCTGTCATCTGGATCTGCGATCGTAAAACCATTTGAGGTCATTCCACAAACAATCAGCTTAGCAGGAATACCCATTTTCTAGAGGAAAAACAAAAATAAATAATCAGAACACACATATAAAGCAACTTAAACATGCTAATGACCAGATCTTACTACCTTGCTTGCATAAACCACTGTCTGAATAAGCACACTGATAGAAACTAGATATGCCATAATCAGAACTGCAGACTGCCTGTCAACACTGTACTTCACCTGCAGTGGATGTATTTAAATAAATGGAAAGAATTACAAGGAGCTGTATTAGCACAAATTTCCTGCAATACTAAGATTCATAGATTATTTCAAATGTAAACATTGCACTTGCTATTCTGCAATTGATTCTGTGAGAAAACTTTCAATAGTAATTATCATATCATCTAACAGGAGTCAATAAGTGTGTTTTTGTTGAAGGCAAGATTTCCAAACAGTGGTTAATAAATCCAGCAGCTGTGGTTGACAATTCTGCTAAATGAGAGGAATTTGCAGGTTAGTAATCTGTACAGTGAAGCAAAGCAAGTGGCATGAAGGCCAGAGCACCAGAACTCTTTGTTTAGAGCACAAATTTAGGAATGGGAGCTAATCTCAACTAAGAAAACTAAAACACAGTGGGCAAGTTAAAGATTTTTGGTATGAATTTCAACTGGGTGGACGTGATATGAAGATTAACGTCCACACATACACATTTGACAAAAAGTATTTTTGTAGTTTAAAAAAATAGTTCCCTTAAAGCATAAAAGATTGTTTGATTATTAAATAATAGCAATGTGCTTGGAGAAGGTATTTTTCTTCATTCCATTTCAAAATTATGAAGCTACACAGCTTAGAGTAGCCCCTTTAAAACACAGTGAGCTTTCTTCACAAGCTAACTATCACCTCATCCTACTGCCAGCTTCCCTACAGGCTTATCTTCATTACTTCATTTAAACTTTGTGGTATCTACTGCAGACATGAAAGTTAAATTTAATTCTGTGAACTGAATTTCATCTGTAAGAATTTCCTATTAAAAAAAATTATAAATTAATTATATAGAGAATGCAGGATTTCATACATTCCCTGAATACCAAACGAATTTTAATTGATATTGCAGTACACTGAGCACTGTAGGATAATTACAAATCCTTTTAGCAAGTCAGTGGTTTTAAATATATGCAATTAGAGCAGTATCTGCACTGATTCTGCCTAACTGCAGAATATATCAGTTTTTATTTACTGAAAAAAAATCAAAACTACTTCAGTCTCTAAAACATTTTTAGAACTAGTATTTATTTTGTACTGTATTCATCAATTATAAACAGTCAGAAGCGTATTTACCTCTCTGTACTCTCTAAGAGCTGTTGCAGGATGAGTATTTCCGGCAAAGGTCTCATTATCAGTAAATACAATGAAGACATCAGCAGCTGTCTGAGTTTTTTGAGCCCATATCATTGGAAGGGAACAATCAGTGGTACCCATTGGAATCTTAAAAGAAAAAAATATATACATGGAGCATATTAATACAGAAATTAGTAAACCATGGAAAAACTACTTTTTGTGTAAGCTTCATGTTTTATCACACACAGAGGTTTCTTTGTTAAACAGCAGTTCAACTTATTCATTTCATTTCAGTTTTGTCCAGTGTTTTTTTTCTTTGTTTGTTTTTTTAATATTCTTTCCAAACTAACTCATTGTGACCTAACACTGCCATTTAAAATTGCAATATTTAGTATCTGGCAGTTGAAATAATTGTATTTGTTGGACTTTCTCTAAATAGAAGGGAGAAAAAAAAATCCAGTGTTTTAGTATATACATACAGACTGAACACAGTACTAGAATTTACTACAAAGAAAATACAGTATAACTGCTGAGACTTCTAAACTCTGATACTCATAACAGCTATTTTCTACATTTTGTATTTGTTTTGGTTTTTTTACATACTTCATACATTTTCACTAATACTTGAGGTAACGTCATATCAGCTGTCACTGGGCAAGGGACCATTTCATGTGAAAAGGCAACAATATGGGAATCCTTCTCAGTACGTGCTACAACCTGCAAAAGAAGAAAAAACTATTCAGAAAGAAAATACTATTCAGCATTTTTAATGTCTGAATCAAGGCATTCCCTGCCAAATACACAACATGACATATCCTTCTGTATTTAAGTCAGCATGGCTCCTCACATGCATTAACCCTTCATGCTACATTTTAAATATTCTGTAATATTACTGCAAATAAATACGGGAAAAATCTAAAGAACTGCTCTAATTACTGTATGTAAAGACACTTCCATATTTCTTCTCCTTCCTCTGACATAGAACACTAAACATTTTTAAACACAAACAAAAGTTCAGCTCCTCTATAATATAAATACACAAGAAGCTTTAGAATATCAAACTGAGGGAAAAGTGATTGTGATACAAAGGCTGTATTGATAAGTAAAATGCACAAAAGAATTATCCTAAAGTTTCTTAATCCAATCTCTATTATTCTAGGAATGCTTCTGAAAAAAATTAAACTGTATTTTCAGCTAAGGTAAGTGAAAAAGCAGCCTTGACCACTTTGATTTATACTTGAAACCAGCTTCTTCAAATTGATCTTCCTGAATTTGGTTGCCAGTAGCTTTAAGCATCTGGTCTACCAGTGAGGCACAAGGTACCCCAAAAACATTACATGTAAGTTTCCTTCTGATTTCTAACCAGCTTCAGAGCACCTTTCTATCAAAAGAACAGCTCAAGCTGCAAATAGATATAAACAGAAGTAGTTTAACGCCTCACCATACACATGGTTGCTGCAACTGTGCTAGCATTAAGCACGCTGCCCAAAACCTTTTGTGTCATTGATGCACTGACATCAACTGCGAGTAGGAAGCGTCTTCCTGTTGGTTCAATTGTCTAAAAGGAAAAAAAAGAAAACAGGTATGGATAATTAATATATTCATTTTTACTTCCTTCTTCTGCTTTTAACCCTAAAAGTGGGGCTTTTTAAAAATTCTTTCTGGGGTAACATTAGGACAATTAATGTTGCCAAAAGCTGAATATATAATGAAGTTTTGATTCTTCATTTAAAAAAAATCCCAATTCCTAAGAATTTTGTTATAAAGTTTAAAAACTGTTACCCACCCAACAAAATTTTCTTGATCATTTTATAAGCTTTCAAAAACCAGAAAATTCTTAAAAAGCTTAACAAATTGAAGAACTACAGTACCTTGAAAGTTCTGTAAAACGAAGCATCTAAAGCTTCTAAAATGTCTTCATCAGGACGCCACCAAAGCTTTCCTCTGCTACTATGTCCAGCTTTATAAGTTTCTAATGCAACCAAAATATGGAATGGATGTATTCTACCCTACAGGCAAAAGAAATCAATAGTAAGTTTTTGAAAATATTAACTCCTTTAAAAAAAAAAAAGAAAAAAAAAAGTTACACACTAAAACTAAGATCCTCCTAAAAAAATCTCTGGTATAGTATATTGTTACTTTAAATTTATTAAATTTGAAGAGTTCATGCAGCTTTTACACAGCTGTTATATGAACTGATACTTGTTCTGATAAAGGAATGTCACTCCCTTTCCAGAATCCTCCAATGAATTCCAAATGTTATCTTATGCTACCATCAGAATTTTGGTCAATGTCTGTGACTGTCCACTGCTATTTTCTACCACAGGCTTACAGAAAGAAAAAGTGCCTGTCATGCTAAGGGGAAAGGAGAAAACTAGTTTTGTGTCAGATACAGCAGAACTGGACAAATAAACTATTTTCAGAATACAGCATTCATTCTCCTCTTACTATAAGAAGACATTCCAAACATTTTCTTATTTTTCTGCCTTCTCTACATAAATGAAATCAGTGGCTGCCGCGTGCCAAGTATGCGAAACCACATCTTCACTTTACTGATTTATCAATAGTTTGTTACCTCTCTCCTCAAGGGGAGTTTCAGTCACTGATCGTTACCAGCAGCAAACCTTAGCAAATCTGTATGCCTGTCCATTGTCTTTCTTCCATCAAGGTATTGTGCCACCATCTTTTGCTCTCCCTTCTCCAGTGCCCCAGTAACTATGTATTACCATTAAAGAAACCAGAGAAAGGGAAGAGCAGTGGGATGGGAAAAGAAGGACTTACTGTTGTTCTCCTTAATTCAGCTATGGTCTTGAAGAAATTAAGCGTCCTGATTTTAATCTCCTCAACTCACAAAACCATTAGAAAAAGCCACTTGTCTTTTCTATCTCCCATTAAATTTCTGTAAATTTTGTTTGGGAATTCTCTTTTCCCTCTTATTTTCTCATCTCTTTGATGGATACTAAAGCTATCTGAAAGGAGAAAGTCTCCTTGTTCCATCTTCTTTTTCCTCTCAGCTGCTATGCTAGTTTCTTCATTCACTTCCTATGGTCCTACAGAAGTGACTTCCACTCACTTTTTAAGCTTGTATTGGTGATTCTAAATTACAAGACTCCGTAGCAATGGATGAACCCAACGGGCAAAGCTTGCCACAGCCTTAATTTAGGAAAAGATCCTAGCTGTCAATATACATAATTTGTATAAAAGTTTCAGAAATAGAGGGGTGGAGGGGTAATCAAATGAGAAATTATATTTATAAGTTTTAAAATAAAGGTGCAGGTATTCCACTGTAGTTTTTAAAAAGAATAAACTGTGCATTTCCTCCAAAAACATCCCTTTAATCTTGTAAAGAGGTTGCCTGAAGAAATACAGTTTATGAAGAGCACAAAAACCACAAAGGCTGGCACTGCTTATGAAAAAGTTTTACCTTTTTTAGCAGTTTCTCATTTCTCAGTCTTTCACACACTATTGCTACTTCTGAACCTCGTGGTTCAAGTACTGAATTTGCTGTCAGCTTTCCTAAATTTCTCAACAATACAGAAATGGACATCTCCTTCAGCAATGCCTTCCAAACCTACAATCAGAGACAGAGAAGGGAAAAAAAAAGATGAGATTCCCAAACTACGAGAACTGACATCTGTGCATTAAATAAGTGTATTTTAAAATAAACGTGCAAATTATGTGAAGATCTTCATAATTTTAAATTAGTTGGGCAAATAACTTCGAAAAACAGCATAAGGGCTATTTTGAAATTGAGACTTAAGACTCTGAAAAGTGTTACTCCAAACAAAGCTAATGAAGATAACCTACCTCTTTAGATTTCAGATGGTTTGTCAGGAGATGCTCTCTAACTAGACCATACTCCTCTATTAAATGAGTAACTTCCAATTCATCTTTCGTGCGTTTTACTTTCTCCACAGCATCCAGATATTTTAAGAGTTTTTCAGTCTCAGCAGAAACTGCTTTGTCTTTATAAGCCTCTTGGACATCTTTCCACCCTTTGGTAATATATTTAGTGACTATAGCAATTCCTGTTGTAAAGAAAAACATTTTCCAAGCCTGATTACCATCTAGCAAGCAAATGAGTTGGAAGATTTTCTTCTCAGACCTGTCAACCAACTATTAAAAAGGTCACACAACTTAGGGCAGTAGATTTAATTACTATATTATTCTCCTTAAAAGTAATGAGCCTAACATATTTGAAACCAACAGATCTTCCCAAATAAAAAAAAAAAAAAGAAAAAGTGTTATTTCATCATCTGTAAGTAAACAGGAACAAACTGAGGGAATTGTATTATTTTATCTTCTCTTGACTCAGTGAAGAAAAAGAAGGAAGGAACTCTGTTTACCTTGAAGATAAACAGGTCAATTTCCGATATGATCAGGGATATGGTCACTCTTGTTTTTAAGGTGCAATCTACAGGATACCATCACTAAGAAATCATCAGTCTACAATGGTACTTGGGTTTTCCAAAATAGTTCCACGGTAAATATAAAAGGTTTAAAACACAGTATTTTCAGGTAAATAAAAATTTATTACCTTCACTGGCAGGTTTTAGGTGGGACAACCTCAGAAGATCTTTATGAGACCAACCACTTCTTTGTTTATATTTTGTAACTGCTAAAGCAACAGCCATGCCATTCTTTCCATTGTACCAATCTGCAACAGCTTTCCTCAGTGCACGGCCCCACATGCCACATTTCATGCCCTCCTTCAGATCTTTTTTAAATTGGATGAAAGTAAAGAGATGGGTTGGTATGCAACACACCTCAGGAACAGCTTTAAAAGCTGCTTGTTTCGTTTTCGCATCCGAACACTGTGAGCAAATTGCCAGAGCAAAAAGCAGGGGCTCCTGTTTTGCTGCTCTGCCTTCTTGACTAAATGTTTTTATTTCTTGAACAACATCACAACCTCTACCCTCTTCAATGAGTCTTACTAAAGCTTCTGCATTTTCAAAGCCCAGCTTCTGCTCCTTGATGTAGTAAGTACCACCTTCTGAACCATAACACAAGAAACGCTGCAGCCGATTCATGTCGGTGACATGCCACACGTAACCACTTGCAGAGTTCGGCATCTGCGTTTCATTCAGGGGCTGCACTTGGTTTTCCTCGTCCTCCATTGTTTACACTTCCAGGAGGTCTGTTGAAAGAATAATAAATTTTATTAAGAACTCTTGTGAAAACCAGATTACTCTTACTCTTTCATCACTTCTCAGCAAAGTACATATATCTTATCTACACACTTGTAATTTTTCCTTCATAAATTTAGTAAGAGTATACTTGATAAGTGTGCAATAATACTTACCAGTTAGGGGAAAAGAAATACAAACCTCAGAGTTAAAATGGTGATAAATGTATTTCTTTAAAACCAACTTAGAAACTACTTAACCCCATTAAGTGGTACACAGAAAACGTGGCTGGTGTTACACCCTTTTGCCACTAACTATATTACATCACGTTCTTAGGTACATTTTCAGATTGCATACCAAACTGATCAAAACTGAGATCTTGCCTCACTCTATTTTGCTGAAGAATTGGTAACACAGACCAAATGAAGAAACATGATGCTAAATTTAAGAACTAAAATACTGAAAAACTGCTTAGTCAGAAAACTTTGTGAGAGTTTAAATATGGTGGGTTTCAGTGAGGCTTGCAAAACAGCTTTTTAACAACTGACAGTAGCTAAAAAAAATATCTTTGCTGCAGGCTCAAATAGTCTGCTGTTTCGAGTGAGATACAAGAAAACACACAGACATAACAACAAATTCTGTACTGCTTTACAGGGATGTTTTTCCCCCAGTTTAGGTAGTGCACTGGTTTACAATCAACTTCACTGCCTTCTCTTTGACACAGAATTTTCCTTTCTCTGCAAGAGACTAGAAATTTCCCCTTTCTTCATTCTTGCCTATCTGCAGTGATGTGCTGTCTGCATCCAGGATTAAACAATAAATAATCATCAGTGCTCCCATTATATTCTATATGCTGCTAAAATTGTAAAAACAGAAGCCATATGCTGAAACATAGGTTAAAAATGCAGGTTTCAGTTAAAAAATAACTAAGAAATATCTTCCATTGTATTATCCAGAGCACTAGTGCTCAGCTATTTTTCTTAGTGCTTAAATATTCTAACCACGTTTCCTGCCAAACCAATTTAAATACACATCATGGTTGAGCCGACTTTTTCACTGACATCTGAAGCATGCAAATACACTGAAAATAACAAGGGTGGTATTTGCAATGCATGAATACCATATCAGTACATTTTAATGTCTAAAAACGTTTTATTTCAATAAGCTGGTTTCATTAAACAGTAGGTAATGTTTCATAATAAACATACAAAACCCAAACAAAAAACACTATCACCATCCATTAGTTTATTTATCAGGAAAAACCTGCACAGGGGAAGATACTGAAACTATCTTGAAGCAAAAATAGGAATGGGAAGGATAAAGGAACACGCATGGGTAGGAAAATCTCCATATATATAAAATATTGAGAATAATTTCTTGTTGCATCTTTAACACATCTGCTATAATAAATACCACTACATTATAACGAGGCTAATGGGAAAACTCTTTTCAGCCACCTATGGATTACCAGGACTTAAACTGAACTGGAAGAACCATGCTTTTGGTTAAACAAAACATTCATGATCTCATTCTGCTGATATTAAAAAATACCAGCACTACTTTGAATATTTTAGAGTTTTTTTCCTACATTTTTCCACTTGCACAGGTTCCATCTAATAAGTCCATTTTATTTTAATTCTCACTTGGAGAGTCTCATTGTGCTCACACACTTAGTTTTATAGTCACTAATACAAATTAGCCACCATTCTCATCACCACCTTGAGAACGGGAACAATAATGATAACATTTCTAAAATGACAAATAATATTTATCTGCTTTAAAACCTAGATTTGTTTATAAAATACTGCAACACAAGATTAGTGTTTTCATCAAGGGTATCATCCTGAAAGGCAAATTGTTCTCTGCTTTGTTGTTACGTCTTTTGTATTGTATTTAAAAAGTTTAGTGCTAAGCATCAGAGAAAAAAATTCTCCTGCTGCACTTCTCACTGTTGTACACACTGTGTAACAAACCTAACTTACACATGTTAGTAACGGAGAATTGTTATGTCTACTTTTGTATGGACTCGTAGCACTGGAAAGAGGGATGTGTTAGCATCCACAGCCTGCTGACACACACACGTATTTTAAAAGACAGTTACAAACACACACTCCTAGTTTTTCTGAAGCTTAACTTTTTGATTTGCCTTCTTAGGAATATATTATGAGCTACAAAAAACCAGATGCTGCTACAATTTCCACCTTCTGTAGAGATTCATTTTCACTCAGCCTTCAAAGACTTATTCTCAGATAGAACGTAGTATTTCACAATGGATTAATTACCTGTAGTACTTATCCCATTAAAAATGCCTATGACAAGTCTTTTGAAACCATTAAGAAAGTTATCAATGCCTTCTGATAAGCAATCTTGGCTACAAAACAGACTTACCTCATATGGCTCAGGGATTTAAAAAGAGCTTCAAACCAACACAATCTTTTGGATCTTAATACAAATTGTAAAATCTTTAAAAATAAATTTCTATCTTAAAAATTACCCTTGAAATCTGCAATAGCTGATGTAAACCAGTAATTTCACCACTAAACAGCCACACTAGAAGTTCATCAGATTTGAACTTCACCAGGATCTACTGGAAAAGCACTTATTCAGTGTTGAACTACTTAAACCATGTTGGCCATTTCTGAGTCCTGTTTTATATTTCAACCTCACAAGTTCCCAAAGCTATTTCCTCCCTCTAACCAGTCCCTCTCCTCTGCCCAGGCCTCAAGTGTATTTTCTCTTTTAACATCTGTACAACACAGACAACTTTCACCCCTGCAGATGGATAAATGTGAATACACGCTTAATGTACGCTCTGCCATAACCCTACTCTTCTTCCACTGAGCTGCAGTAGTGAACTCACATTTCAAACGCTCCTGGAGGATTTATCAATGATATTCTGGCTCCACAGGCATTTCCAATTTCTGAGCTACCTGAATGCAAACAGCAATGTGAAAAGCCTTCAAAGCCACAGAATAGATACTTTATAATGAAAATTGCTGAACTAAAATACATAGTTGCTCACCGTTATTAACAAAAGAGAAATAACATTAAGGGAATTTTTTGTATATTCCAAACACCATATAAATTAATCTGTAACTAAAATATGGCTTTGAGTGGCCTGAAACAGCTTCTACAGCACTTACATCTTGATTGGTATGTCAAGATCTTTATGTTGCTCTACCATAACATGATTGAGATTTGTAAGTTAACCTCTGTTATATTTCCATTACTATTTCAATTCACCTCTAGTTTTCCTAAGAAATAAAATGTCTTACATTACAAGTCTCAGGTACATATGAAAAAAAATACAAAAAGCACAAAGCTTCAACAGAACTATGTTCTAACTTAAGTTCTTAAATTTAACCGCTAAGTTAACAGTGATGAACCAAACTTTGCAGTGAAACAATCTGGAATTAAACTTTAATCAAGTCAGATCTTTTATGAAAAAAAATGCAACGACGTTTTAAAGACAACACTTCAAATTGTCTTCAAATATTTCAAAATCATATACACTCTGTTCTATTAGAAACTGCATTCTCCTACTCTGCTCTCAAAATCTTTTATAAGCACTAAATTGAAGATTTTATATAAAGAGTGTCTTCTGGCAGAGAGACTATAACCATCACACTGAGCTGTGGCTGTAACAAAACCCACCGACACTACAGCAGAGCTCTGACAACAACCTAAGTCCTCATAGTTCAGAGAATGAGCACCACTGTGTGAACAAGAACGCTAGGAGATTTCCCAGATCACAAATGGATGGTCACCGGTATGGTGACAGCGCAGGAAGTATCAGACCATGGAACCACATAACAGCTCAAAAAATTCTACTGCAGAATCTGCTTAAAAGTCTGTTTGCTTAGAACATTTCTTGAGTGGAGGAAAAAGGGAGCTTAACCGGGCGAGAACAAAATTATGAGGAAAAAGCATCTGAAGTTGATACCCGAGAACCTGTGAGTTTGGCTGTCGGCTTCTATACCGATGACAGACACAAGTGACGCGAAGCAGACGAGTAACGCCACACGCCAGGCCCTTTAATCCCCCCTCGGGATTCCCAACGCCCCGGGGCCAAGCGGGCGGTGGCCATTTACACAGACGGCCTCTCCGGATTCCTTCCGCATC